TTGGTCAGTGACACTTTTATCTGTTGTATTCAGAGGTTGAACCCTTCAGACGTTAATGGTCGCTCCTCTAGCGCCCCCCTCAGGACAAACCAGAGGAACAAACTCAAACCACAGTGTGTATGTTGAGTCCAGCTCAAGTTACAGATCCTTGGACACTACTCACAAACTGGGCTTTACAACTCTGGAAAGTTATCACAGCTTTATCTGTTGTAACGGCAACCGTCAGGTATAAATAGTAGAAATACAGTGCTCGTCTTATCTTCAGGGAATGTGAGCGTTCACACAACATGAGTCAGACTCAGGTCTGTGTGTTTAAAGTCTCAGTTCAGATTCATATATATATAAACTGTATATATAAAAGGTATTTCTTTGGGCTTTTTTATGCCTTTATTAGAGTAGCAGTGAGAGAGAGACAGGAAGGTTTGGGGTGAGAGAGAGAGGGGATGACATGCACCAAAGAGCCGTGGGTCAGATTCGAACCCAGGCTGCTGTTGTACGGACTGATACGCGCTGTACCAGGTGAACCACCGGGTCGCCCCCAGTTCACATTCATATTTATACAAATGATTCACAAACACGTTCATTTAATTTCCTGTTCGTCTTTCTCTGAGTTTCTGCGAGGGACAAGGTGGAGGTTTGTCTTTGTGTGTGTGTGTGTGTGTGTGTGTGTGTGTGTGTGTGTGTGTGTGTGTGGAGCAGGTAGGATCAGGTGTTCGGACAGCAGATCAGATAGTTTTGTCTTGTAGCTTGTAGCTTCTTGTCTGAACCTAAAGGGAACACTGTGGCTATTGTAGCTGAGCCTGTCAGGACAGACTCGGGTTACATTAACACACACACACAGTAACACACACAGTAACACACACAGTAACACAATGGACTGCAGAGTATCTCCAGAGGGCATCGATCATGTGACTGTGGGACAGACATAATAAAGCTGCTCTCTGCCTCTGTGGGAAAATCCTGCTGCATGATGGACAGTGGATCCTTCAGTGACAGCAGGTCCATGAGAACCAGATCCTGGTCTGGTAACTGAAGGACTTTACACAAGACAGATGTTCAGCTTTGTGTAAGAAAACATCAGAATAAAAGAGAATACTTAAAGATGCATCTGACAATCTTTGACTACTGGGGGGCAACAGATGTTGAACTGAAACAGCTGGATTGGTCCAGTTTCCTCTGGTGTTTTAGTCCTGGTGTTAAACATGCTGGACACCCTGGTCTGTTCTGGTCTGGTCTGGGCGGGTCTGGTCTAGAGCCTCCCCTCTGCTCAGACCATCTGAGCAGAATAAACCTTGTTCTTCGGCCTGTGTTTCACATTAACTCTGAGCTGATTGTGTCTGAGCAGATCTGAACATTAATCTGTCAGCAGGTCGCTGCGCTTCAGTCTGGAGAATCGTCTGAGCGTCCGCTCTGTCAGGAAGTCTGACGAACGACCTCGACCCGTCCCCGTCCGCACCGGACCTGGATCTAATCCACCTGACCTTCACAGACCTGCACAGATTAAACACTAAATCACAGTGGGGCATGCTGGGAGCTGTGACATCACAGGTGTGGAGACTGAAATATATTTCAGAGACTCGCTGCAGCTGCTGCAGGAAAAACCAAAAAACATGTGAGAAGAGAAAATGTGGAGATCTCTGAGAACAGAACGGGACGAGGACAGGAAGCGTCTTCAGGGTGAGACACCTGCTCAGTTTCTGTCAGTCCAGTCCACAATCTGGAGTCCTGGATTAGAGCAAGTACAGCAGCAAATGATTGATTAACGAAAGGCAGGAAGTGAAGGAGGAGAAGAGAAGGAACATGTGGAGATCACTCCTCATCCTCAGACCTCAGCTCTTCACAGATACATGCTGTGATCAGCTGTGATCAGCTGTGATCAGCTCCTGTCTGTTGTGTATCAAGATGTTCAGCCTGTGATACAGAAGGAAACTTCTCTGTTAAGTTCTGCAGACTGTCTGGTTTCTCAGTGGATTTCTGGAGCAGCTCATGTCCCACTTGAAAATCTCAAAAATGTTGTCGGCCCACATCCGACCCCGTAACGACACAGAGTATGTATAAATGTTGTATTTTGAGTTAGTATATATATATATACACATACGTACATACATACATATATTATAGTCACGTCTTTTCATTAGAATTGATCTGTTTTGTAAATGAGTTGGCCCACCTGTAATACCTTCACAGCCCACAACCACTGGAGCTTTATTCTGGAGGGACACTTCCTGACATCCTCAGGAAGTGAAGTCACACTGAATCAGAGCAACATGTGGTTCAGGTCTGAGGGTTCAGGTCTGAGGGTTCAGGTCTGAGTCAGTCGGACCTTCACTTCCTGAATCAGCTGTGATCAGCAGCTGAACTACAGGACCTGACTTCCTGCAGTAGAAGCAGCAGTTTTTAATCTGGAGACGTTTGGTTCTGTCGTAGTTGGAAGGAACTCTTTCCCAGTGTCTGACAGCTGAGTCTCACATCACATCCCCTGAGCTGCATGTTACAGTCTGCTGTGTTCAGCTGGAAGAGGCTCCTCCATCTGTGCTCAGGCTAAATGATGATGATGATGAAGATGATGATGGTGGTGAACCTGGTCACCCTGTGGCCTCTGTCCATTAGACAGATGAGGGATGATGTGAGAGGCGAGGGGACGGAGTTCACAGTGAACGCAGCGCCTGCTCTCTGAGCTGTTAGTCACTCGATCCCTCGGCTAACTCAGTTAGCCTGCACTTTGCTAATGGTGTTAGAAAAGACAAAGAGGGCGCGGCGGAGGAGAGGTTCTCCCTCCGTCCTCTCCCTCCATCAGGATGTTTCCTCTGCTCCCACCCACCGCCCAAACTCAATCAGGACCAGGCCTGGATGCTGTGTTCAGGTCACACGGGAACAATCAGCGCTGTGATTCAGCAAACCGACGAGCTCTGAAGTGAAAGTGTTTGAAGTTGTTAAGACGTTGTCTTTGTACGGAAATCCAGCTGGGCCAAAAATAGCTGCTCTGTACATTGATCATCCCAGTTTCAGGAAACTTTGCTGGAGGCAGAGTTGCTATAAATACAGAGAGTGGGGGGGTTATTCCTGCTGTAAAGTTGGACATTTTAACATGGGAGTCTATGAGGACTGACTCACTGTTGGAGCCTCTAGTGGTCGTTAGAGGAACTGCAGCTTCAGCTTTAGCTTCAGCTTCAGCCATGGAGGTTGATACTTGTCTGAATGTGACTGAAACAGGAAGTGTGTGTGTGACTGATGAGGCTTCACAGACTGAAGAAGACCTCATGTCCCACAGAGAGCGCCCCCTACAGTCTGAGTCTGTTCGTTCAGCCTGTGAGATTCAAACATTATGAGACGAGTCTTCAGTTTTCACTCTGATGTTTGAATCCATCACAATCACTTTGATTTCATGGGTTTTAATTTGCCCCCCCCCCCCGTCAAACATGTAAATCACACTTTTTTTATTGTTATGTGAGAGTGGAGCTGAATTTAAAAACCAGCTGTGATTAATGAGAGCAGCTCAGCCAATCAGAACGGCCTGTGAGAAACCAAATCAGTCAGTTCAAACCTCATTACCAACATCCAAATTAGCTGTGTTGATTGGACCCCCCCCCCCCCCCCCCCCCCCCCCGGGTGGGACAGGGGATTGTCTCTTCTGTTGTCTGAGTCACATGAATATTCAGAGAGACATGAAGTTTGATTAGTTGGTTTTCAGAGATCAATAGTTGAATGATTCTGGTTTGTAACAGGGAGGTGAGACACATCTGTCACTGTGTGATGAGCTCAGTGTTTGTGTTAAATTAAATTATGTAAATTACAGCAACAGCTGTGACACACAAACGCATCACGGCTTCACTGTTTCTGTCTGTATCTGTCTGAGGAGGCTGTCACTAATGATTATTACTGATAGTTGATCATTAATTAATGCCTCATAGATCAGTTCTAGTCAGGGTAACCTGTGCGTTGCCAGGTTGTGTCAAATCCTCCTCCTGCAGACTGATCCGGAAAACAGCTGCAAAACATCTGGACTCAACATTAGAGACTGGTTTAAGGTTAAGGTTGGACATTAAGTCAGAGTGTGTGTGTGTGTGTGTGTGTGTGTGTGTGTGTGTGTGTGTGTGATCACTTCCCATCTGCAGGGACCAACCTGCTACTTAGGTGAGCGCTCAATTTTGCTTCCTGTTACTCCCAGACGGGCGGGGTATTGACGACACCAGCTGTGTGTGTGTGTGTGTGTGTGTGTGAGTGTGTGAGTGTGTGTGTGTGTGTGTGTGTGAGTGTGTGAGTGTGTGTGTGTGTGAGTGTGTGTGTGTGTGAGTGTGTGTGTGAGTGTGTGTGTGTGTGTGTGTGTGAGTGTGTGTGTCTCAGCCTCATTAGTCTCTGACTCTCTCTGTGGATCTGAACTGTGAAAGAACTCGTCCCAGTCGTGCAGACTGTTGTTAGTGTTCAAATACTGTGACTACTGCTTCACTACTACTAATACCACTAATACTAGTAATACTACTAATGTTACCAATACTACTTATACCACTAATACTTGACTCATTGTTTAGTGAGCCAATAAAAATAAAGCAGATTTCACTGAGAGAAACCAAATCCTGCAAGGTTTGGATGGTGGGTCCAGGTGGGCGGGGCTTGGTGACTGCTTTGTTGTGACATCACAAAGTTCCAGAAGTCCTGACGGCTGGTTTTAAGGCTCAGTTTCTGAATACAGGCTGTGTGCATTTCTCTGTGGACTGAGGCTTTGATACTTTCACAGTATTAATATAGAAGCTAGAGCTGATCTATAATCACACTACACATGGACACAGACCTTTACACTGGAGGAGCTTTAAATACGTTTGAGCTGTGAAACTCAGAGCGACAGTTTCCCGCCTCCTCCAGAGGCTGATGATGTTCTGAGGTCACAGGTAGAAGAAGCCATTGACCTCTGACCATTCTCTTCTTCATGAACAGTGTGGAACACAGGTGAGCTTCACCTGTTGGTGTGTGAACATGAACTACTTCCTGTGTCTGCTCCTCAGGTTCTTCCGGGGGGAGTACACGGTGGAGGTGGCCATCAACGACTACCTGGACATCTACTGTCCTCACTATGAGGGGGCGGAGTCTGCCGAGCGCATGGAGCACTATGTGTTGTATATGGTGAACTACGACGGCTACACCACCTGCGACCACCACAGGAAGGGCTTCAAACGCTGGGAGTGTAACCGCCCCCAGAGTCCCAGCGGCCCGCTCAAGTTCTCCGAGAAGTTCCAGCTGTTCACGCCCTTCAGCCTGGGCTTCGAGTTCAGGCCGGGCCACGAGTACTACTACATCTGTGAGTACTACTACTACTGAGTACTACTACATGTGTGAGTACTAGTACTGAGTACTGCTTTATCTGTGAGGACTACTATGTGTGTGAATCAGAGAGAGAATCTGATCTGTTAAAAATAATAAACTTTATTTATAAATCACTTTTATTAACAAAGAGTTTCACAGAAAGAAAAAGAATAAAATGTAAAAAATCAGTGAAACAATAAGAGGTTAAAACAAAGACAGGAAGTTACACAGAATATAAAGAGAAACTAAAATGTGTCAAACATTGATCAAAGACGCGGATGATGTCTGACTGATCTAAAGCTGATCCATTATTATTAATAATTATTAATAATTATTATTATCTTATTTTCATGACTTTCAGTTTGTTCACTGATTTTTACTAAAAGATTGTAAAAAGCAGTTTTAACATGACATAAGCTGCTGTATTTATGTGTGTGTATGTGTGTGTGTATGTGTGTGTGTGTGTGTGTGTGTGTGTGTGTGTGTGTGTGTCTAGACATAGTCTCTCCTCCAACCTGGGAATCATTTTCTAAATTGTGGCTCATTTGGACTGAAAAGCTTCAAGCAGAGAAACAGACCGTTTGTTTTAAATTACACTTAATGACTGTGTGTGTGTGTGTGTGTGTGTGTGTGTGTGTGTGTGTGTGTGTGTGTGTGTGTGTGTGTGTGTGTGTGTGTGTGTGTCCTCTCTTTATGAACTTGAGCTCGATTTATTTTTTATTTAAAACCATAAAACAAAAGAATTTTTTTAAATGTTTCCTGTTTCAAAATATTTGTTTAATTTGTTATTTGTTAAAAAATGTTTTTGACGTTTGATGTTTTTTCAGTGGAACAGTTAGATTTTTATGTTTTAACCAGGTGTATGTCATGAAATAAAATATATATATTAATATATTAACTGAGTCTGGTGGACAGGTTCTTTGTTCGGGTTTGAAATGGATTAAAACTGATTTCTCACACACACACACACACACACACACACACACACACACACACACACACACACACACACACACACACACACACACACACACACACACACACACACACACACACACACACTCACACACACACACACACACACACACACACACAGTAACGACACGTCCTGGACAGTTTGAGGTTCAGCTTCTTGTGGACTGGAGGATCCGGGATCAGTACAGTCCACCTCCTGGGCCACAGCTGCCCCCCTTTCTATATTCAGGTCTGGATCTTTGTGACTTCCTGATTAAATAAAGTTTATATAACTTTATTTGTGCAGACAAACAGTCACATGTAGAGTGAAGGTCTCAGGACGAGACCAGAGACAGAGTGTAGACGTGTGTCGGGATTATTAGAGACTGAACACACTGAGATGTTTTCACTTGTGTCTCTGCTGTTGTTGTTGTTGTTGTTTTTGTTGTTTTTGTTGTTGTTGTTGTTGTTGTTGTTATATTTGTGTTTTTAGTTATTTGTGTTGAAATTAATCGTCTTTTGTTTAAACTCAGACGATAAAAAGTTTTTCTGAATCAGAATCAGTGTTTAAATCACCTGAAGCTGAGGATGTGAAAACTGATCAGCTTCAGTTATTGATCAGGTCTGAGTGATGTCATCATCACTTCAGTGCTGTACTGTTAAGTCTTTCCTGTCTGTTTCCTCTGCAGCGTCTCCACATCCAAACCTGGCCGGGAAACCCTGTCTGAAGCTCAAAGTCTACGTCAAACCAACCAGTGAGTCTCTGTCAGTGTGGGGGTGCTGTATTGGAGGGGGGGTCCTGTTGTTTCATAATCCATCAGTGGTTCTCATGAGTAAATAAATGAAGACTGGAACTTTTCTTTTTAATTCTGATTTTATTCCAGTTTAACTTTCATCACTAAAGCTCCACACAGTCTAAAGGCAGATCTATGTCTATGTGCTGTTTGATGATACAGCTGGTTCTATATTACTACTGTGTCTGATGTTTATATATATATATATATGTATATGATGTTAATGTCTGTCTCTCTCTCTCTCAGATGACTCGGTGTACGAGTCTCCGGAGCCCTTCCTGACAGACGACACCACCGGTGGCTGCGGCCTCGCTCTCCCTCGCCTCTCCCTGCTGTTCGCTACGTCGCTCGCCCTGCTCCTCATCCTCCTCCTCCCTTCCTCATAGCACTTCCTCTTCATCCTCCTCTTCACCGTCCTCCAGTCGCTCCGAGGAGAAATGACCGACCCGAGGCGGGAAACCGATCCGATTCCCTCTCCCTGACCTCTGACCTTCACCTGAACTCTGCTCAGCAGCTCGGCCAATCAGAGGAGGCGGAGGTCACGGTGTGGAGGTCACTGCTGGATCGTCTCTGCTCTGATGATGTTTCTGACTCGCTCTCTGACTCCGTCCGTCTGACTGACATCTCTCTGACACATGTTGTTTCTTCTTTTAAACTCTGGAGACGAAACTTCACTTTTCTACAAAATCCTCTTTTTAATTGAACAAATTAAAACAAACTTAACGAGCCACATCAGTGTTTCACAGGTTTCACCTACAGAAACAAACGACACTTTTTACATAAAATCTGGATCTTTTCAAATATTAGAAAGATAGTGCAGAATAATATGAATAGATAAATAAAATGAAATAACCTTTTATGAGTTTGTACAAGATAATAAGTTGTAAACACAAGATCTTTATCTGATGTGTGTAAAAACACAGTGACTCTCCACAGTCACATGCTGAACATTAACGTCAACAATTGTTGTGATGATTAGACAGTGAACACACTGACTTTCATATTGTATGTGAATGAATGGAAATCAATGAGAACAGAAAATACATCAGAAACTGCAGATAAATTCTCTGCACAAGACATAATACACACACACACACACACACACACACATATATATATATAAAACATCTTCAGCTGTAATATCTATTATCTAATATCTATATACTATAACTATATATAACAGGTTGTGATCATTCATTAAAAAATCTAATCTGGCATTAAACAGCTGAAACAAACACTGGTCTGCTCTTTAAGTTCTGATTAATAATCAAACTGATTGATCCAGATGATCAAGTAGAAACATCATGTGACTGTGTGTCAGCTGACAGACGACTCATGGAGCCTGAACTCATCAGGCTGATCTTCATCTTCAGCTCCGGACGTCTCATCAGACAGACATCATCATCATCATCATCATCATCATCATCATCATCATCATCATCATCATCATCCAGTCTGCATGAACACCATCAGAAACAGACTCAGCATCAGCAGTTTCTATGTGTCTGAGCAGCGTTCACACGAGCTGTTTTTCCTGCAGCCGTTTGTCCAGGATCAGGAACCTGGATCAGGAAACATCCAGGACCTGCTGCAGGACCTCCTGGACCTCCTGGACCTCCTGGACCTCCTGGACTTCCTGGACCTGCTCCCTCATGATGACAGTCACAGAAATCAGACACAGCTGAATCCATCACTTGATCAGTCTAATTCAATATTGATTCAATTTAATCATCAATCATTTTGTCTGAAAACTAAGAATAATAAGCATCTATGTTTAATTTCCAGATTCTTAAACAGTTCAACAGCTAAATTTAAGGTAAACACAAGAAACTTGTGCTACAGAAAACTTCAAAATGAAAATGTTACACAATAATAAAATCACAACATTTTATCAGCACAGAATCCTGGAGGTCCAGCCTCTATGTTTTTCAAAATAAAAGCTTCTGTTCTGTCACTCAAAGGACCAAGATCTGATTCATTAATTTGAATTAATGTTAATTAATTACAGTATATAGAGAGTTGACTCCATCAAACTTCAGGTAGTTACTAAAAAATTTTAAAACTTTATTTCCTGTATCTTGTCCAGATATTGTTTATTTTTATCAGGTGAATCTTCTGCCTGACTGACTTCTGAGACTGATCATCATCATCATCATCATCATCATCATCATCATCATCATCATCATCATCATCACCATCATCATCATCATCATCATCATCACCATCATCATCATCAGTTAGAAATATGAAAATAGAGACTGGATTAGTCTGGAGCCTCTCTCTCTCTCTCTTTCTCTCTGTGTGTCCCTTTGTCTCTCGCCCGCCTCCAGCAGCAGATGGCCTTTTATTTGTGTAAATCTGCCAAAGACTCTTGTTAAACTTCCTGTTGGGAGCTTCAGAGGAGGGGGTGGGGCTAGTCCTACAGCAGCTATAGAGGTCACTTTAACCCCGCCCACTTCCAATACAGGGGGCGGGGTTTGCAGAAGGGGAGGGGTCAGGTTTAATTTTTTTTACTGAATCATGTTGTTTTGTGGTAAAAATCAAAACGAATGTTCTGCGCAAAATCAAAACGATAAATGGCCTTTTTTCCTCTGGTGCTGAATTTTTAGTGACTGACGAACAGCGACACCGTGTGGTTGAGGTGAACACTTCATCAAGTCACGCGCTTTTGTTTTTTGTCTCTTTATCTTTTCATACCATCCCTCCATCCCTATTTATGGAGGGGGAGTGTGTCCTTGTGTGTGGATGAGCAGGGGCATGCTGGGAAATGCAGTATATGTAAGAAAGGCACTGTGATGGAGGATGACAGACAGATGATGTAGCACTTGGACGGAAACAAACTGACATCGACGTTTCCTCATTTTTTTACTTTACATTTGTGCCATTTATTGAGTTTTTTTTTAAAAAGCAGGAGATTCATATGAAGGAATCAGTCTGATGTTTGTTGTTGTTGTTGTTGTTGTTGTTTTCCTCCTTTTTGTTTCTGCTTGCATCACAATGCATTCTGGTCCTTGTAGTCTTGTGTGTTCTGGTTGAGTTGATGGATAATAGTGGGTGGGTTTTCCAGCTCGTCATCCTCTTCTTCGTTGGTTTTCGTGTGGATGGAATCAGTTTTCGTGATGTAAGAAATGTTAAAGAAGCTCAAGGAAGAAAAAAGTTCTGATGGTGGTTTTGTGGGCAGGAGTGACACCTCCCTGCTTTCTCTGGTTTACAATATCTCTGAGCTCAATCAAATGTTTTTCTACATTCAAATGTCAGCATATTCTATTCTTTGAAAGACTAAAAATCTGTTTCGTATATTTTCTTATTGGATGCTTATAAAGTCCTGTTATAAAGAATGCATTTATCTGATTGGCTGAAGAGCTAACGAGGGGTCAGAGGTCGTCAGGCCTTTCCAGGACATTTATTTCCTGCGCTGCATGAGCGGGAAAAATAAAACATTTAGTGAATTTACTTTGAAGAAGATTTCAGAGAGAAAATGTTCAGACGTGTATGAATCTGTGTTTGATAAATTCACCACCAATAAAAAAACTTCCACTAAAGATTCATCGTCCTTTGTTCCAGTTTGTTCCAGATTGTTCCAATTCACACACAAACATTTTTCACTGGGTGATTATGTTGTTGTAGTTTTGTTAGAATACTAACTTTTACATAATTTAACACCAGAATCATCTTCTGTGAATAGGAAGTAATTTACATATATACATTTTTTTTTTAATATTATACTATGACATTTTTGACCTACTATAGTATGAAATTTTTGACATACTAAACTATGACATTTTTTGATATAGTAAACTAAGATTTTTTGACATGCAATACTAAGACTTTCTTTTGACATACTGAACTATGACATTTTTTGAAATATTGTACTATGACTTTTTTTGATATAATAAAATATGAAATTTTCCGAAATATTATACTGTCATTTTTTGACATACTAAACTGACATTTTATGACAAACTATACTATGACATTTTTTTACATATTAAACTGTGACATTTTCTTAAGTATTATACTTTTACATTTTTTGACATACTAAACTATTCATTTTTTAGACATACTAAACCATGACAGTTTTTGACATACTAAACTGACACTTTCTGAAATATTATATGACATTTTTTGACAAACTAAACTTTGACATTTTTTGACAAACTCTCCTAAATGTAGAGGGGAAGATCTTCTTTAGCGTAGTCGCACGGAGATTAGCTAGTTATTTAGAAAGGAATAGCCTAATAGATACTGCAGTACAGAAGGCAGGAATACCAGGTTTCGCAGGGTGTTTAGAGCACACTAGCATGATGTGGCATCAGATTCAGGCAGCCAAGACAGAGAAAAGAGACTTGCATGTCATATTTTTGGATTTAGTAAATGCGTTTGGTTCAGTGCCACACAGCCTTATTTGGGAGGCGTTTGATTATTTTAGAGTGCCTGGAGTAGTGGTTAATTTAGTAAGGTTGTATTTCCAAGATATTAGACTATGCTTAAGTACAGCAGGCTTTACAACAGGGTGGCAGAGGCTAGAAATAGGCATTATGGCAGGGTGCACAATTTCTCCATTGACATTCACAATGGTGATGGAGGTAATCATTAGAGCTTCTAAGTGGGTTGTAGGTGGAGAGAGGCGGCAGGATGGGATGCACCTTACACCAATTAGGGCCTACATGGATGACATGACGTTGATAACTACAACGGTGCCATGTATGAAAAGAGTACTTGAGAGACTTAATAAAAACTTAAAGTGGGCTAGTATGAAAATCAAGCCTAGTAAGTCTAGAAGTATCTCAATAAGTAGAGGGAAGTTAAGTGATAGGAAGTTTGTAATAGACGAAGAGGAAATTCCAATAATTAGGGAAAAATCAGTAAAGAGTTTAGGTAGGTGGTACAAGGCAGACTTGAATGATGGAGAACAGGTAGTGCAGTTTCGGAAAGATGTTGCCGAGGGACTGGATAGAATAGATAAATCAGGGCTTCCAGGAAAATTGAAGTTGTGGTGTTTGCAGTTCGGGTTATTTCCCAGACTGATGTGGCCAATGTCTGTTTATGAGATTCCATTATCTGCTGCAGAAAAAATGGAAAGATTAGTTAGCTTTTACATTAGGAAGTGGCTAGGTGTTCCTAGATGTTTAAGTGCGGTGGCACTGTATGGGAAAGGCAGTCTAGTGGAGGAGTTTAAATGTACTAAGGTTAGGACAGAGCTCCTGTTATCTGGGAGTAAAGATGTGGTAGTTAGTAAGGTGGTTCCAAACCTAATCAAGGGGAGAAAATGGAATCCAAGAATGGCAGTGCAGGAGGCGGAAGCAACGCTCAGGCATACAGAGATTGTGGGTAATGTCCAAATAGGCCGGGGAGGCTTGGGGCTTGGCCCAGGCAAACCGGTGTGGAGTAGAGCAGGTCCCAAGGAAAAGAGAAAGCTAGTTGTGGAACAGGTTCGTAGA